TGACTGCTAATTCAAGGTAGAAGATTGATATGTGAGTAGATAAGACATATAGTTTTAAATGCTACTTCCAAGTAAAATGAATTATTAATATTTCTTATAATTTTATTGAATTTTTATGTTGGAACACTCACGAAATATAAATGAAAATACTTTCTACACCCATGTTTTTTTGACGAAGGTATTGAGCTATTGTATCCTGGTGACTATTTTCCTACCATAGTAAACTTAAATATCTATTCTTAGTTATTTGAATGAAGCTTTATCACCCTAATCTATCGATTTGATTGGAAATATAATTTTAAGTTCAGCTACAATGCCCTTTGGACGTATTGATCTTGGTGGAGTCTTTGTTCCTAGGTAAAATACAAAAGAAAAGTTATTTAACTTAAATTTGCTTACTTATATATGGCCTTGAATTATGAAATTAGGCGTAAGAGCAATACATCATCAACACTCCCAATTTTATATGCGGAAAACAGATTTTAATAACTCATTTCTGTTTAGGGTAAAAGATCGACATCAATTAGATGTTTTACCATCAAAGACGTAGTCTTATAATAATGGAACGTTTGGTTTTAGGCGAAAACCACTAATTACAGATTTAAGTGGATTTGGTCGATTCACATCGTTTTCACCATCGTCATGCACGTTTCCATGACGTTTAAAAAAATATTCCAACTAATTCACTTATACGACTTCTTTCTACGCTTGAATATCTAAAACGACTAATGAGAGAATGCTTATTTCCGCCTTCTAAATTCTGTTATTAACTTTTACTAATGGAGATGCTAAAATATATGCATATTTTCTCTATAATAAAACTTTAATTTCACCATCTATTTAATGATACTTACGTTTTACTTTCCTTCGGCAATCGCTTACTAAGTTTCCGACTCTCAAAAGTTCAACTCTAGAAATATGCACTTCTACTGGCTCAATATTGTTATTTTCTATTATCAGGTCGACAATCCTTCTAAGTGATAAATAGCTTATTGATTGAATGAATAGAGGTTCCAATAAGTTGCTTAATTCTTACGATCAATAACATATTTGGGATATTTTCCTTTATTCACCTTTAAATAAAATAAATTCTTTGATGGAAGCATTTCAATGCTTTGCAGCTCATTTCATTCATGCTTTAAAGTATTAACCTAATGTCAATTACAGAAATAGAAATTCGCTCATATTGATGGCTGTTTTAGTGGCACGCACTAAAGGTTTCTTGTTTCTGTCCTACGTGGGTGATTAATATGGGGGAAATTTGATGGCCCCATAACCTAACGCATGATTGCGTTGTTGTGTGGGTTACCTCCATGAATACTCACTTGGAGCTCATTAAAAGTAGGGAGAAAACAGCTAATTGCAAAATTTCTCGAGTGAAGTATTAAGAAAGACAGTACAGTCATAATTAAGGTACAGGTTAGCTAAAATTGGAAATAGCACGCACAATTTTAATACTTCCTCAAAGAAGCCAATTAAAAATTCATTAATGCTTTAGTACCAAACAAGGCTTATATCTGATATGTACATATACAAAAAAATAGCAAATTGGCTTAACAGATTCTGCTTTCTTTGAACTTCTTGCAGCTCGTAATCGGTCTCCTATAATATCCTACTCTTGCATGACAATGTGGACACGTGTGTTCGACGTCCTTGCAACTCTTCGTAAAGAAAGGGAATAGGAAGCATCCGAAAACACCTCTACATTCATTGTAAATAAAGGAAAGTTCAAATAATAGATGGAATGTGATTAGGACCAAATTCACCTACCCAAGGAGAAATATCATTGTGCACAATGCATAGACTTTAGTTCCAATTCTTGAATTAATTTCTGTGATTACTGGTCTGTTGCATTTTGGACAAAGTGCTTCAATGGAATGGCAACCAAAGGTTTCTAAAATAAATTTTGATTGAGTTAGATACAAATTTGTTGTCAATATTTACCGTTTTGAGGTGAAGTAGGCTGAATTAATATTGCCTCGTTGAATGTTTCTAATAAAGCAGTAGTCTGAGTATACAATAGGAGAATGGCATAAATAGTAATAAATTCGCAAATGCTTACGTTCAACTGTAATATCTTCCAAGGCTTTTGGTGTGTTATTGGAGTCAATTTGTAGAGCTGAATTGAATATCAAGAAGATCACAAATTAAACTAAATTAAATCTATTAATTGTCATAACAAAATAAAACAAAATAAAAAGCAACTCAAATAAAGAGTTATTAAAGCAAACGCACGCAAATTAAATAACGTTTTAAAAATTGTAAAGGAATTTTAGTTCACAAACATTTATCTAAGTGGTTTGATCAATTGAATCATTGTACTTGTTAAAAATTTTTTTTCCTTTAAATAGCATTCTTGTAGGAGTAAAATTTTTTATTTTCGTGGTAATCATATATTAGTATTTGAAAAGTATTATTGCTCTTACTTGGACTGTATGTATAGAGTTTGGATACATAAACTTTGGGTTTATCTTCCCCAATCACTGAAATTGTTAAAATCTTTGATAATATTTACCTTATGAAAGCTTGCCTTATATTTTATTGTGAAATACTAAGGAATTATTTACTTACTGTGCAGACCTGGTCCATAATATGTGGGCATTTTATCATCTGTATGCTGACAATCTTGTAAAATAGAAATTTATGAGCAGTTTATTAGACTGTAAAAAAATATTTTCCATCAAAAGTAGAAAATATCACACATACGGGAAGTGTATTCTCCATCATGCACAGGCCCTATATGTTCTACCGGATTACAGACTATAGGGGGAAAAGCATGTATTTAAATTTACATTATGTTTATATTTTTTGAGTTATATTATGACAGAAAATACCTTTGTCTTTTAAGTCTGTGGAATAGGAAATCGTATCCTTAAATTTACCAGATTGCATGGTTTAACCCAGATGTTTTCGCACAACTTAGTTTCAAAATGAATCATTCTACATTGAATAGAAGTGCTTGCAGTATAACGCGTTATCTTATTGGCTGGAAATTTAAAATTTAATAACTGCACACAATGGTATTCTAACATTTAAAATAAAATGGAACTGTTATTCGTTTGTACATAACTCATTTAATCTTCATTACTAAACATAATTTTGTTAAATGACTATAAGGACATTTAAATTTATGAACAATTACCGTTTTGATGTCATTTCAACTGCTAATTTTAGAACTGCATTTCCGTTTTTAGAGATATCGCTCGACAAATTTTAAATAATCAATTAATTTCTATAAATAACAATTTAGAATATATATATGCGAGCGTATTTAGCGCGCACGTTTCACGGGTGACTTTTGGCACCACTAAGAAATTAGAATCGATATGAACAGGCAAATGGTGTGATGCCAACATGGAAAAGCACCAAGATGAACTTTTTCCAACCTAGTAGAGTACAACAAACTATTCTGTTAATTGGCTTTTGAGGTTTTACATCTTAGGAAGTATTGCAACATACTTTACTGTAAGTTAATGCGCCAAATTCACAGTAGCAACACCTTTAATGACACACTTTTCAGGATATGCGGATACCGCTTTACAACCAGTTGGTTGTCCCGCAATAATATGAATAGAATTAGACCAAGAGATATTTCACGGAATAGTTGAAAAATCGTTCATTGCTAAATAAAAATCTACTTAAATCGCCTAAGTACGCGCGCCTATATTTTCATCTACGCTCTGGTCCTACCAGTGCGATTTTTTTTTTGACAAGCGCCGACAGTGTGAGTTTATCCCAAATTGTCTCTTTTATTTTTATCTCATTTCTTTACATTCATTTAATTTCAGCCCAGGGGAAGAATGCATTGGGATTTGGGTGCCTAACTCAGTATTGAAAGGGCTGAGACCAAACAATCTCAGGCTTTAAAGTTTAAGTCTCTCTAAACTCATCTCTTATGACATACATAAATAAAACTGTGTGTATGAATGCATATTACGTAGGAAAGAATATTACATAATCTTATTCACTTGAAAAAAATAATAACCAGCCACAATCAGTAAAGGGGTTTAGCAATTACACTAAAGAATACTCTAGAAAAAGCGCAGATAAAACAGCCATGATAAGGGCCACTGATGATTGACAGCATTAATATCTCCTAAAAGATACTAAATTGAACTATTTAGTTTGCGTTAACTCGCCTACGTATTGCACAATCTAACCAAACCACCTCTATGTGCCACTATTGTGAAGGCTAAAATGCAACTAGTGAGTATAAGAACAATCCAAAATTCCAATGCATTTTCGAATGGAACTAAGGCAATGTTGTTAGAAGCATTTTAAGAATCGGCCATTTCTTGTCGATTATCAAAAGTTCAGAGATGAACTACTAGAAGGTTGACTCTTCAGGGTAATGGAAACTGTTGTCATGATTACTCAAGCACAGTACAATAAGGTCCGCTAGTTTTTTAAACTCGGTGAGTTTAATTCACAGATTGAAACTCTGTTTGTTCCTTCATACTAGATCGTTTACAGAGAGTAAATGGCAGCAAAGAATGGCCCAATCATGCACTATATTAATCCATACAGACGGGTATGATCAGTAATGCTATGGATAAATTGATGAGTGATTGATGTTCTATGATGTTCTTACCTTTCATGACAAAAGTTAATGTAAATTTTCAATGATGTTAGCTTGTTTTGTACATTTAATGCGCGACTAATTGACGATTTTCCACCCTGCGAGGAAGTTTGCATTGCATCATAGATCACAAAAGGAACAAATGCGTTTTTTCCATATATTCTAATTCTTAAATAAAAGGATAAGACTGAGGAGGGAAATTTTCCCCACCTTTTTGAATGTCTTCAAGAAGAAATTTTTATCAGTTGAATTGAGCATGCTTTCAATTACGATTCCCATATAGTGCTAATTGGTTTTTCGAATGACAAAAGCTATTGTCTTTATTGTCTTTGGCCTAATCGCGATGATAATAATAAAGAATGAACATTGAATAAACAATCAATTTAGGCAAAAATAGTAGTTCATCTATTATAGCATAAAATTATCCCAGTTTCTTGTAGTAACCCAAATTGTATTTGCAATTAGGGCATACATGATCGACATCTTTGAAAGCTCCAACGCAGAAGGGTATTAAACAGCATCCCAGCACGCAACTAAAATGCAAAATATCGATTGACACACACAGAGTTAGGAATATTCACGCACCTTCTGTTACAACATACCCAACTAATGCAAGACCAACGCATGATAAGTACACACAGAGACCATTTTTGCTAATGCATATAGTTTGAACAGTTTGACCACAATTAGGACACGTTAGAACTATTGGATTTGGTCCAAAATTTACCGCCGTTTCTGTTTAATAAAAGAGTATGAATTTTTAAAGAACATTTGTTCTTTTTTGGTTGATATTTTCTTTACGTACCTATTGGGCGAGGCTCCTCCTTTACAACTACAGAAATGTACAAAAGAAACCACGAATGGTAGTTGATTTAATGTGAAGAAAACTATACTTCAAAGAGAAACTTATACAAAACTAACCTTCAGTCATTTTATGCGGATTGAGATACAAGTCATAAATTAGAACTAACTTATATATTCAAACATTATTACATCAAGGCTCTTTCCTGGTTCGCAAATTAGAAGGTTAAATTTTATTTATTTTTGAGTTTGGATAGTGAGTGACATGAGTAAGTGAAAGAGAATATTGTTGTCGTTTTAAAAATAAGTAAATAAAATATAAATGAAAACAAATTAAGATTGAGCGAAATATATACAATTTCTACAGGCAATGACAAACAACTCGCATCAAAGAGTTTAAATCTAAGGAAACATGTTAAATATTTCTAGTAAGTTTTAATGTAATTGAAAAGTCTACAAGTAACTTATATGTTAACTGTAATTCACCTGATGAAGACAAAATATCCTACACATTTTTGCGTGAGATCGGGAATCATTCAGTTCAAATGATACGTTAAATATCATTCTAGTAGAATAGAATATGAACTTCTTTTTAAGATTAATTCATGGCTTCGAAAAATGCTAGTCTAGAATATATTTATAAAATTTGGAATTCGGCTCTTTCCAAGACCAGAACAGAAGCCCTTGCGATAAATATTCTTGTTCACCAAAAAATCAATATTCAAACACACCCTCTTTTGAGTATTACTAATCATTGAAAGAAACCTTGTTTACTTAAACAATTAACTGTTACAATAGTACTATGAAAAATTTCTTCTTTCCCTTTAGAATTAAAATACTCTTAAATAAATTTAACTTTGATTTAGACACAAAGAGCTTGATTGACACTTAGTAGGATATTAAAATTATTTGTCAATCACTAAATGATAATTAAATGCGTAGTTACTTTCACAAGAACCAATTGCGAAACTTCCATTTACAGGCAAGCAACAGTGTTTAATTTTCATAATTAGGTTAGAGAAGAAGTTTTAATTGACCATTTTTTCGAGTTTAATTATAAAGTGGACTATTTCATTACATATGCTATCAATAATGGGAAACAGGTTTCAGAAAGGTTTCTGGGTTATTTACGTTCCTTCAATACCTCAATACATTTCAACAAAATTTGTAACGCAAATGCTATCATAAGTAAGTTCAAATAATAGCTCGGTAAAGTGAAGTTTCGTAGAGAGTTTCATCAAAATGGGATATTTGAATAAGAAATGTCAAGGATGAATGGTTGAAAGAGGAAAGTGAATCAAATACCGCTGAGTCAATAAAAAGAGAAATAGATAGTGTATTAAGTGAAATGATTTTCACCACAGATTATTTCAAATTTGAGTACGTTGCTTTTAGACAAGAGACGAAGTACCTTAGTAATACGCATTAAGGAGATACTGCTCTTTGAAATATACGGGGAAAAAGGGTGGATATTTGGAATAATTGCAATTGATTTTTTTAAATAATGGGAAAATAAAATTCATAAATAGATTATTAAATTCAAGTTCATTAAATACCAGACGAGTTCTTGGTAAAGATAATTTGAGTTCGAAATATTTCCAATGGACCATCTTGCTGTAGTTCCACTGAACAATGCAAAAATATTGCATTCTATTTCACTCATATCTGAGATCCCGCACAAAATCGAGGCATTTATGTTCGTCCTTGCGGTCTTAATTGCTTTAATCAATGTCAGTTATTTGCAACAAAGCTAAAGCAGATTTTCCAATCAAATTAAAAATTTGCTCCATGTTCTAATTTCATGTACTTTCTTCTACTCATAGAGATGGGAGAATGGTCTCACACAGGATGAATTAAGTCATAACGCTACCACATGTAAACGAGAAAATAACCCAAATATAAAAGCAATAAAATAAGAATAAAACACAACTAAATGATATTTTATCGATGAAAAACCATTTAACGGGCTAATAACATAATTAGTGCTCCGAAATTAACACGGCACATGTTTGCTCACTCAGGTAATTATTAGTCTTTTAGTAGGAGAATAACCTTGTATAACCAAAGAGGTATGATATCATTCAAATAAGATCAGATTTTAGATTGAAATCCAAACGTTATATCGCATATGTCTGCTTTGGCACTGATAGAAGGTAATTTGCCATATTTGCATTATCTTATCAATGTTAAGTTAATGGATGAAGAGTAAATGTAGGCGGATGAAAAGGAGAGGAAATTTCATTTTAAAAAAACGAAAACTAAATTAATTCGCCAAGAGGAAAGTTGAAAATCTCTTGGATTTAAATGTAAATATATTGTGGGACACGTTATCGCTTTGTGCGTCATCGTATGCCTGCATGCCAGGATTAGGAGGTGCGGTCGTACAATTCTGTGTGTGGCGACCGTACAAACAGTGGCCAATCATTAACCTCTGTTTGTTTAACCTAATCAGCCATCCTGATCATGATTAAGTCCCCTACGTGTACACTTTTTCCGCAATATACTCACTGAATAAACGTGCTCCGTGCTACACGTCTGTTTCCTTTATAGTTGGGGTAAGGCTTAGCTGGTTCTGGGAAACTAGCTAGATGTTGGAGAATTTGCCATAGAGATTTCTGAGTCAGTCAGGCTTTACTAGCGTAGCAATCCGCTACAATTCTCAACCGGTCTGGCTTTACTAAGGTAGCAATCCGCTACAAGTCTTTAACCAAGGCTTTACGAAGGTAGCAATCCGCTACATGTTCGAGACTTAGGGAGCAATCCGCTACAAGTCTACAAAACAATATACATAACTAGCGTAGCAATCCGCTACAATATCATAAATCCATAATTCAAGTTGTTAACTATACTTCTTCAGAATAATGAGCGGAAAATTGAATCCTAATAGGAATGTGGCTTAAGGGTGGGATGAAACACTAATTCCTACTTCCCGGAACCACTTCGAAATCAAATTAAGAGTATTATTACAAATATGATAGTGTGATTTGCCATGATATCATTAAATTTCATCCTACTTATCATTTATTAGTCTTCATTTAAATAATGCTTAATATTTATATATATGTAGTTTTAACTTCTAAAATATTACCTTAAATTTTAAATGCCATCCAAAAAAACAAATTCTATGCCGATAAAATTGATAGAAAATTATTACAAACATGTCCATAATAAAATTTAAAATAGAAACGAAAATTGAAGACATGTTATTGAATTTTTACGTGATGTTACGTTATCTGCAGCAAAGTAAACCGACTCTGATTTCCAATTTGGTTTTAAATGCGATTTTTGAACATGCTATATCTGGAAAATCAAAGCCCTCTATTCCAAAAGATGCATAACATTGCTTCAACGCATCAACGACTGCAATGATACTCATTTGCTCTAAAATCATATTTATATGCCTTCTTTTCCAAATTAATTTGAGCATATACACTTTTTTTAAAATAAAATCATTCATTTCATTTAATATGTTTTCTTAAATAGGTTCAATAACTCAAGTTAGGCAAAAATAGAGAAGATGAAAAGACTACTGTAATGGAAAAGTGGAGTTATGAGGCACATTTTTTCTCAAACACGCGTGAAGTGCTGTATAGAGAGCTTTAAACAATGGCCTCAACTACCATAGTCTAATGGATATAAGAAAAACCTTTTTCACTACTCATTACCACCAAAGCTCCTTTGTTTAGAAAGAAACGCGATATTTGTAAGCCTTTCCCAGCAACACACCTATCCGTCGCTCTCACAGAAAACAAAAAAATTATTGTAATATTTCTTAGAAGTGTCGCTTTCGATAGCCACAATTAGAGCTAGTCGAGTGCTCCACAATGCTTGATATAAGCGTAAAGAAAATGCTAGAAAAGTTGTTAATGCACAAAAGCAGTTATTCTGGAGGGGTAAGAAACTCCTCGGCCGCGATGAGTGTGAGAAGGTTTGGGTCGAAATGTGGGAGGTTTCGGTATGGAAATTTGAATAATATCTTAGGGTAAAGACTGGAATGCAAGAGTTGAAGAAAGCTTAGCTTCCATCAAGAAGTCAAAAGTGACGTGTATAAAATTGGTTCACAGTATATATGTGACAATAGTTGAATGTGTTTCAACTGCTTGATTTTCGATTTGAGTTTTCCTTACATCCACAGCCTCCTCTTTCGGCGTCGACTCAGAGCTTTTTAGTTAAAAAGATATTGAAATGAATTAAACCCCAGGGTAAACATAAGTAGGAGAAAAGTTTCAATTTAAACACAATAGGAGGCTTGTCTTGATGCCACCCACATAATCGTACTGATCTTGCGACATTAGGTATATAGTATGTCATTTTGTTTTACTGCTTAATGACCAAAAGTTCCTCAAATCAGTAACTTGCAATTATCAATAGTAAATAATTATAGTGAACAAGACTAAAAATGCATATTAAAATAATATTACTTATTAGTATCTGTAGAACACAACTTTTCACTTGAAAGGGTAATAAACTAGCGCGAGCTAAGTTGGTTGAGAAGGAGTTTTTTAATAATATTATTGAAATTTAGAATATGTTCATTATTCGAAATTCAAATAGATAAGTTTCATTCGTCTTAATTTTTACAACTACTGTTTATTATTTAAGTACACGGAATTCTGAAAAAATGAAATGAGAGCAAGTTAAATCCGTTTTTTCCAACACGGATTTTTAAACTTTAAATAACCCTTCTTCTGTTTTGCCAAAAATAAGCGCTAGCGTCATGAAAACTTAAACTTTAATCTCAATAATAAATGCCTACGCCTTGAATTTCAATAACAGTTGAATCCCCAAAATCAGTCAATTATGCTTCTAGTAATTCAGCTATTATAAAGAAAGGTAGGTAAGGCGAATGGTCAGAATGAAGTGACAAACACAACGTAAGCATAGCTGAGCGAAGGATTTTTTCTCGATCTAGGACATTCTGGAATGTACAAATGCCTTCCTGAGTACAGAGACCTCAAAGATAATCAACAGTAAGTATTTATTGCAGGTTCGGCGTACCCAAAATTGTTATCAATGACCAAACTCTGTCCCATTGTCGTCACAACAAGAATGAACCTTTTCAGCTTCATTCGTTCCATTTAGTCCTGATTGTAGGGGGAAACATTCCTAACCTCCAGAGCAATATTTCGT